CGAGCACGGAGCGTTGGGCATTTGCGACCTATTCGTGCTACATCACAACAGGCGAGATGCGAGCGCGGCTTGGCGGTTCACAGTGAGGTGCGCTGGGTACGTACTTCTGCAAGGTATGGGCGCCACCAGTCCTCGAAGGAGGTGTAGGTGAAGGGCACGCCGTACTCCTCCAGCACCGAGGTGTCGAGCTTGCAGTGACGTGGGCGAGCGGTGGCAGCCATGGGATCCACCTCGTACTCTGGGTCGAGGAGGTCGGTGCGGGTTTGGAAGCCGACCGAGTTGGCGATTCGGCTGAGGACCATGCACATGTCGTACTTTGTCATGGCTTCCTTGGCGCTGAAGTGGGTGATGGGTGGCAGCTCTTTTGCGGACTCGGCGTGCACCTCGGCGAGCCTGAGGATGGCAGCTGCGACATCTGCAACGTTGGTGGGATACCTGACGGCGTATGCATCGCACTTTTTGGGCGACGACGAGCCTGCAGGAGGCTGAATGGCGTTGAGAAGCACGTTCACTGCAGACTCGTCGTTGGTGATGGTCCTGCCGTAGAGGACGGGCACGCGAAGGTTGGTAAAGTGGCCGGGCTTCGCATGCTCGGCAACAGCGCGCTCGCCCTGGAGCTTGCTGACGCCGTAGGCATTCAGCGGATTCGGGGCATCGTCGACGGTGTACGGAGGTTTGAAGCCGTCAAAGACATAGTCGGTGGAGATGTTGATGAGAATGGGCGGCTTGTCGAGCTGCGCGGCGAGCGTTGCGATGGAGGTGGGAGCTTCGACGTTGATGGCGTGCGAGGCGGCAGGGTCGTTTTCGACGACATCAGGACGTCGCTCTGCAGCGGTATGGACGATGACGTCGGGCTGAAAGTCTTTGAGGCACGACTCGACTGCGGCAGCGTCGGTGAGGTCGAGCTTGACCAGGCCCTTGGAGGGATCGGAGCGGGTGAATGCGAGGGCCTTGGTGTCGTAGCTCTTTTCGGTGCAGAGCTGATGGACCGCGCGTCCGAGCAGACCAGATGCGCCGGTGATGAGCACCTTCATCGTGCGTCGTTGTCGCAGCAAAGCCGTTGGTAGCGAGTGGTAGTAAAGGAAGAGCGAGGGGTCCCACGTCCAGAAATGCGAGCATCCGTGCACACCTGGCCAACGCCGCTTCCAAAAACACGCGTGGCTCCTCGGCCTCACCGACGACCTTCAACGCTCTCCACCCGCTGCTACATCGCGCCCGATTCGAACCCGCCGCTGCCGGCCCGATGGCGATCTGCGCACTTCGGACCGCGTCCGACGCTTCTTCCGAACGCACGGCGACTCCACACTCTCCTTCCTTCTTGTCCTCCACCTCGTAGACCACATAGAGCAACGACCATGGCTGGATCCAACGGGCCCATCGCTCACATCAAGGCCGTCCTGTTCGACATGGACGGCCTGCTGATCGACTCGGAAGGCATCTACACCACTGTGGTCAACGACATCCTCCGTCCCTACGGCAAGGAGCAGACGTGGGAGATCAAGGCCAACCTCATGGGCAAGCCGGAGCGCGAAGCCACGTGTAAGCTCGCCTCACCTTTCCGTTCCGCTGCTTATATGCTGACTTGATGTCTGCTTCGTGTGATGTATAGTGACGCTGTTGTCTGCGCTTTGGCCGCCCACCAAGGAAGGCGAGCTGTACGGTTCCGATTGTCCGTTTGACATCGACACTTTCCTCAAGGACCGCAACGATGTGCTTCTGAAAGCGTTCGAGCAGGTTCCTCAGATGGCGGGGGCTACCCGCCTCGTGCAGCATCTGCACAAGCACAAGATCCCCATCTGCGTCGCTACGGGCAGCAAGCGCCGGAACTACGAGATCAAAACCGCCAGCCACCCGGAACTCTTTGGGCCATTTGCCCAGCGCGTCATCTGTGGAGACGATGCAAGGCTCACACGCGGCAAGCCGCATCCGGACATCTTCCTACTCGCCGCGAGGGAAGGACTGCTGAGCGACCACCCCGAGGAGCAAGAAACACTGCAGCAGCTGGGAGAGAGCTGGACCGATGCCCTGCGTGAGATGGGCGAGCAGTTTGACGGAGACCACAACCTCAAGGGCGCAGAAGCTAGCATCCTGGTGTTTGAAGACGCAAAGCCAGGCGTCCAGGCCGCAAAGGCTGCCGGCATGCATGGTACGTCCCCTCGAACTCCCTTCTCGACCGTTCCGACCGATCCAACTGACCTAAATACCCACGCTGTGTCTCCCTGCGCTAGTTGTTTGGGTTCCCGATCCGAACCTGCGTGCGCTCTTCCCCAACGAGGAACTCGGCGCCTCCCAGACCATCGACTCGTTGCTCGATTTCGATCCCACCGCTTGGGGCCTGCCGCCGTTCCAAGATTCCTAGCCACAACACTAGACTCCAGTGTCCCGGAATAGACACTCTTCGCCTTGACTTACGCAGCATGTGGCAGCGCACACACTCAAAACGAGGCTCACACAGATACAACGAGAGGGGTAAACAGAGGTCTATGATTGCACGAGCTTCCGGCCTTTTTTTCGTTGCGGAGATCACATGCCAAGCATGCCGTTCATGGCGTTGCCGACGTACGCCATCGGCTTGATGTTCGGGTGGGGCTGTGCCTCGAACACGGTCCACCCGATGCTGCCCTGTGCGTCGATGCGCGCAAATGCACCCAGGTTGCCCGTCGAATCGCAGTAGTTGGGTGCGGAGAAGATGGTGCAGCAGCGACCCTCGTGCTCCTCCTCGTAGCCGCCCATGCGCACCTCGTGACTGCGCAGCACAGCGGTGACGCCATTGAGCTCGCACCACGCCTTGGTGATGTCCGGTCCAAAGCCAAGTCCGACTCCACGCTTGGAAGGGCCGCGTCCCGGCGCTGTCTGCGGATCGCTCCAGAGCAGCTCCATCATCAACCCGGCCTGACCAGGCTGTCCGATCGCAAAGCGGTCAATGGCGCGAATGTCGTCGAGCGTAACGCCGTCCTTGGAGAAGAGGCCGCCGTGCACGACAAAGAATCGCTTTCGCCCCGTGTCCTTGTCCGTAATGGGCTGGCGCTGCGCCACCGAGAAGGACGCCGGCAGCTCATCGCCCGTGAGCGGAGCCTGGGTGGCACTGATGAGCGTCGCCAGCGGCAGCGCCACAAACACCTGGGTGAAGAGCTTGAATGTCAGGTCGCCGCCGAACTTGGCCTTGCACTCGCCCTCGAAGCCGTACACCTTGTTCATCTCGGACGTCTCGTGGTTGCCGCGGTTGATGAGCGTGGTCTTGGGGTAGAGCCACTTGTACGCAAACACGGTCAGCGCGATCTCGACCGACCACGAGCCGCGGTCGACAAAGTCGCCGTTGAAGAGCAGCGCATGGTCCTTGCTCGGCGCGCCCGTCTTGTTGAGCAGGTGGATAAAGTCGAAGAACTGGCCGTGCGTGTCGCCGATCACGTCAATTGTCGTGCCGTCCGTAACTTCGTAGTCCACCAGCGTCGGCTCCTGCTGCAGCGCACGGAAGGCGCCGAGGATGATCTGCCAAGAATAGCGGTTGTGCAGCTTGCCGCCGTTCTTAAAGTGCTCGATCATGTCCGTGATGAACTTTTCGTCAATCTTGCCAAGATGCTTGGTGTCCTCGTCGTCGCCATCGGCGATGCGGGGGCCGTCGTAAGAGTCGGGCACGACGGTGCCGCCTCCGCCTTCCTTGAGGTTGGACTCGACCGTGTCGGCCGCCTTGACGCCTTCCGAGACCTTGATGGCCTTCTCAAACTCGAGACGGCGGATGAGCTTGACGGTTGCCTCGAGCTGCGCCTTGACCGATGCATTCTTCGGTTCGAGCTGAGCGACGACCTTGAGGTCGGGGAGAGCCGACTTGGGATCGAGAATGCTGAGATGTGCGCTGGCCCTGCGGAAGTATGCTTTGGAGAACTTGGAATCGAGCTGGATGGCCTTTGTGGCGTCTTCGATGGCGAGGCCGTGCTGTTCGAGCTTGAGCTCGCACGCTGCACGGTTGCTGTAGAAGGCGGGCACGGAAGGGTCGAGTGCGATGGCGAGGCCGTACTGGTGCTTGGCGGCGTCGTACTGGCCAGCGACGAAGAGCTTGTTGCCCTCGTCTTTGAGCACCTTTGCCTTTGCCTGACGCTCCTCGACAGGCAGAGCGATGTCTTCCTTGGATGGCGAGGGCGGCACATCGGCGGAGGTTGCCGAAGCCTGGTCGAGCTGCGTCACATCGGTGCCCAGCGAGGCCACTGACGAAGCGGCGGGAGACGAGGGCGCAGACGAGTTGCCCGATGACGAGGACTCTGCGTGTGTTGGCGTCGAGGAGGACATCGTCGGTTGCGAGAGGGTGCGAGTCGCCGGCTGAGAGGCTCAATCGCAGTGGGTGATTTTATGAAGGAAAGACCAGGACGTCTATTCAAAGGTCGGCTGCTCCTGTATGCGTTCGGAACGGTTCCGAACAGAGAAGTGCTTGGAGCAGATTGGACTGCTGCTGCTGCTGTGGCTTCGTTTGGTGAGGTCAAGCTGGTTTCTATGCGGTGATGCCTGGCTGTGATGGTCGAGGGAGCAGAGGCAGAGAGACCAGCGGAGAAGTGGCCAGCAGCAGTGGCCACGTCCGGCTCAGCCGTCTTCTCCTGCCAGCTGCTGCTGCTGCTGCTAGGAATTTCGCTCCACTTTTCCTCGCCGCTCGGCTTCTTCTCCGCCCGCACAGCGCCGTCGGCCTGCCGCTGAAAAACGTCTTTTCTGCCCCCAACACGCCGCGAGAATTTTCGAGATTTCAATTTGTTCTTTCACAAGATCACACATTTCCACCGCGTCGCGAAAAAAGTGGAGCGGCGGGACCCTGAAGCTGTCGGTTGGGCCGGTGATGCGCGCCTGTCAAAAAGCTCATCATCATCAATTAGCTCGCTCTCGAGCGAACCTTCACCTTCCTCGTCACCCATCGACATCGGCTGAGCCGTGTGGCTCCACATTCGGGCCCGCTTTCAATAAGCTGCCCATGCTCAGTCGACGTCTCCTGCTTCTTCTCCACTTCCATCGCCTTCGCCATGCCGCGAGAGACTGCATCGCGACCAGGGCCATCTCGGACGCAACCTAGCCAGCCTTCTTCTTCCCGGAATGGTGACACCTCCACCAGAGCTACCGCTATGACCAACCAGGAGGTGGAAGAGGAGGACGAGCATGACCCTTCTGCTGCTGCGCGCAGAGCTCGCCGACAAAGGCGCAGAGAAGAACAGGCCTACAAAGTCAGTGGCTGGGAAAACCTGTACGGCGGAGGCGGTCGTCCCCCCGTCTTCGACATCCGCGACCTCCGGAGATCCGAGCGCAATGCACCTTCCAACTCTCAATCCAACACTTCTGCTTCTGCCAGGCATGACAGCCACTCGCCTCGCCGCTCCAGTAGACTGCCACCTGCCTCGGCCCCGCAACCTTCTACCTCGGCTGCACCTCAACCACGCTCTGGCAAGCGCAAAGCCACGTCACCCCCCGCCGAGACTCGTCCAGAGAGACGGAGAATTCGGTCCACATCGATTCAGCAACCACCACCAGCAGAGTCCGACTCCGATGACGGCTTCGAGATAACGGCCTGGAATGGCCCTGCTGCCTCACAAGCCCGATCCCAAGCGGAAAGAACCACGCCTGTCGCGACCAAGCTCGAACAGAGTCCAGCAAAGTCGCCGCAGACCCTGCCGCATGCGCACAATCGCGATCGACTCTTCTTGACCTCATCGTCCTCATCCCCTGCCCGGCAATGGTCGCTTCCTCCGGCTGAGAGCGCACACACCGCCGCGAGCAGCAGGGAAACCTCCCTGTCGACCTCAACCCGCGCGGCATCCAACAAGGAGTCTGAAGACACCATCGTCGCCGCCTTCGTTCAAGGCTCATCCCTGATCGAACAGGTGCTGCGCGCCATCACCAGGTACGCCGAATCACTCGAGCAAGCCCATCGCCGCCGCGAGACGGCCGACAGCCTCCACAGGCAGCTCACGGCTCTCGGGCCCACGCCCACCCTCAAAGATATCCACGTCATCACCTGCTCGGTCCCCACGCGTCTAGCCAAGAGGCTCGCCGTCGTCTTTCGCGCGTGGAACACTCACATCCTTCAACGCCACTCGAACACCGAGCGCACAAAGTCCCCCAGCACCGCTGTGCCCAGCACCCATGCGCCAAAGCCTGCACGTTCGTCTCGATCGGCAAGCAAGGAGACTAGCCGCGCACCTGCAGCCGCAGCCAAAGACGACGCGGCTGCCCCCAGCAACGACATCGCAGGGACTCATGATTCGCATCCTCCTCCGGCCACGATCCAAACATCTGGCGCTCAGGCCAGCGTGCAGGAGCCATCAGACTCCACAGACGCGCAGATCGACCAAGTCAGCGCATCCGGCCATCCAGCCGCGGTACAAGACGAACAAGACCCTTCCGCCCATCATGACCTCGGCGACACCAGCATAGGTCCCCCGGCCAGCATCACCTCGGCCGGCTCGCCACAAGCCTACGGAACGCCGCCCGAGGACCCTGAAGAACCCGAAGAGCCAGAAGAACCCGAAGAGACCGGAGAGCCAGACGAGCTGGGTGACGAGGTGGATGAATTAGAGGACGATGACGCAGTCCCCGGCGCCGGTGGAGAGCAAGACGGGGCGCCAGCTCAGCCTGCAAACGCCCGTGAACAGAGCGCTTCTGCAGATCAAGAAGCGACGGAGCTCGTCGCGGAACAACCTTCTGCAGACGCTGCCGCTGCCACTCCAATGACGACGGAAGCTCTGCCGACGGAATTGCCAAGTTCAGAGCGAGCGGAGGAAGATCAAGCATCGATTGCCGGCGATGACCCTGCACCCACGCTTGTCAGAGCAAAGGAGCCTCAAACAGAGGCAGCTGCGGCCAAGGACGCTGAAGTGGCTGCCGACGATGTCGTCATGGATGCGACAGAAGGAAAACGGGCATCGCCAGCCCATTCAAGTGCCGAGGCGCTTCCAGCACCAGAGGAAAGACGAGACGGCTCATCAACGCCGGTCCCCGCTGGTCCGGTTGATGCGGCTGACATCGAGACGGTCGCGGATCTACCGGCTGCACCCACCGCAGATCCGTCTCGAGGCCCAGCCGAAGTACAGAACAGCACGACCGAGACGGCATCCTCGCTTAGCAACGATGCACACCAAGTCAAGCCAATCCCAGGTGTCCCGCAAGCGGCAATTCCGGCTGCCAATGCAACTGGAGAGGCGGCTCCGCTGCCAGCTACAACGCAGGCGACCGACCAAGCCGAAGCCGAGCCGAGCCAAGACGCGGTAGCATCCAGCGACTCTGCCATGGCAACCACTGCTGCAGCCCTCGCTATGGCAGAACTGCCGGATGCAAGTGCACAAGCCGACGCCGATCCCGGCGACACGATCCTTGACTCCCAGAGTCGCGCACAAGAGACTGCAAATGGTGCGCTAAACGCTGCGAGCTCAGTCTTACCGCCAGTCAGTGAGGCATCACCTGCCGACCCAAATCCTCATCAGGAACCGCAGCGGGACCAGGAAGAGGCGGCGATCGCGAGTGGGCCGACCGCAGACACTTCTGCAGCTCATCCCAGCATGGCGGTGGGCAGCTCAGACCTTCAGCAGCCAGCGACCGCCCCCAACGTCGTCGACGACGACCGTGCCTCGGTCGCCGTATCCGAACCCGACATTGCGTCTGGTTCCGTATTGCTCCAGGAGCTCCGGCGGCTGGATCGAGCGCATAGCCAGCCGTCTTCCGACACATCTGCCTCTGCACCTGTGTCTTCAGCGAGCAGGCCAAAGATGACGATATCCGACCGCATGAAGTCGCTGCTCAAGGACCTGGGCGGCATAAAAAAGCGACGCTCGTCGTACGACACGATGCAGCAGCTCAAGCCGCTGCGCGTGGGCAAAGCGACGCCACGTACGATTCCAGACCTGGTGGAGCGGTGGCAGGACCCGGCCAACATGATCCCATGGACGTGCCTGGAGGATCTGTATCCGAGGATTTTTCATCCGAGGGCCGAGACGCACATGCATCTGTCGATGCACGAGCTCATGAACAAGGTCGCCAGCACGCGATCAGTGCAGCATCTGGCGCACAAGATCCCGGAAAGGGTGATCGCGCGCGCGCTCATGGAGTTCCCCAGGATCCCGCACATGCTCGAGTGCTGGAGCAAGGAGAAGGAGGGATACTTTGCTTCAAGACAGTTGCCTCAGCCTACGGATACGATTCCAGAGTTCAGATTTGCAGATGCAGAGCCCTTGCAGCGGCCCACTTCGGCAGCGTCTGCAGTCGATGCAAGAGCGTCGGCTCCGCCGTCATCGATGCTGAATGAGGCTAGAGAAATCAAGCCCGTGCCGAGTGCGAGAGACGTGGGTGGCCAATCGCCGCAAGCAGTCCCGATGTCGCACTCGCACTCGAATCCACCTCCGCACACTTCCGGAGCAGGGCAAAGCGTGAACACGTCCGCGCTGCAGGTGCCGCAGCATAACGCGCGTCCCAGCGTCCTTCAACCCATTGCACCAATGCCTGGGCAGTCACTGGCACCGCCGGTGGGTGGAGTTAGGACAGTCGCACCCGCGCCAGGTGCGCTTTCATCCGTCGCCGCAACGATGCTCGCCACGCACGCGCGTCGCACTTTACAAGGACCGCAGACGTCGGCGCGATCGGCCGGACCTGGCAGACCTGTGTATCTTCTTCCGGCTCCCGAGGCTCAAAATCAAAGCACGAGAACTATGCAGCCGCCGGTGGTGCCTGCTCAGCAGGCCCAGCCGATGCATGCGGCGCGACCGATGGCAGGGCCAGCGTTCGCCACGACGGGCGCGGCGATGCAGCCAGGGAGGGACATGAACCAGTTCCTGCGGCAGCAGCAGCAGATGGCGTCGCAGGCGCGTGCGCGGCAGCAAGCGGCGACCGACATGCGGCGCGCGACGGAAGCGGTGTTCGCTGGGCTGGTGGGTGACTGCGTCTCGTTTGCCGAGCATGTGCTGGGATCGCGCGTGCCGAGCGAGGTGGCGGAACGGCCGTACTTTAGCGAGGCGGATCTGACGCACGTGGTGGAGTACGTGGTGAAGGTGTACGAGCTCGAGGTGGAAGCGGAGCGCGCGGCGGGTCGCAGAAACGCAGCGGCCGAAGAGAAGCACGCCAAGATCATGGTGGTCAAGAAGGCGGCGGAGGAGGTGATGCGCACGACCAGGATCCTGATGCATGTGCGCCTGTGTTTATCCGAGACGGCGAGCGAGGCGCTGCGCAACGCGTCGACGAATGCGGTGCTGCGAGACTGGCAGGAGGTGCTGGCGACTTCGCCACGCTACGTGACGGCGGTGGAGTATCTGATGCGCTTCCAGGACGTCCCTGCGGGCCTGCTGACGCGGCAGGAGCGCAACTTGATGCTGCACACCATGGTGGTGGCGACGAACAAGAATCTGGAGAGGACGCTCGAGAAGATGGTGGATGTGGACGCGCTCATCGGCCCCGTCCGGGGTGCAACGAGCGCCATCAGCGAGGAGGAGGCCGAAATGATCCGCCGAGAGTGCTTCTTGATCGGCTGCATCTGCTGCAAGCACGTCGTTGGCATCCTGGGCCAAGGCGCAAAGCAGCAGAGCTGAACCTCGGGCTCTCCACTCCCACTCAACATGCAGGCCGAGTTTTTAAGACAATGACACGCATTGGCACGTACGAACAGGGCGTGGGAGTGTCATGCGATGGTTAGGCGGAGCAAAAGGGGAGTCGAACGAACAAAAAAATACACTGAGAGGCAGGGGGGAAAGGAAGAAGCCGGGTTGGGGGAGTGGGATCTATTGACCGATTCCGCAGATGGACAGTTCGCGCATCTCCTGGAGCACTGCTTCCACCTGGGCATCCAACTGGCCATCGGCGTACTCCTCGCGCACGCCGTCTGCAAAGAACCTCTGAACGCCGCCCAACTTTTCGTATCCATCCTCTGCGAACTTTGCCTGCATCCTGACCATGGCCTCGAAGCTTGGATCGAGGTAAGGAATCCTGAGATCGACGAGCTGGGGCAGTTCTCCCTTGACCTGGTCGTCGAGGGTTTCGAAAATGACTCTGGTGTCTTCGAGTTCCTTTTCCGCCTTGGGCAGTTTGGTGGGGTCGTCGGAGGGTTTGTCGACGAGTTTGCGATGCTTGGATCGTGCGGCGTCGTAGTCGAGCAGCTTCTTGTTGCGCTTTTCGACGACCTTGTTGACTTCGGGGAAGTAGGATGCGAGTTTGCCGATGGGTTCGAGCACCGTGGCGCGGTACGGGGCGTCGATCTCCTTGGCGGTTTTGGTGTCGAGTTCATCGACGGCTCGACGGTAGGCGTTGGCCGACATGGCAGCATCGGACGAGTCGGTGTAGAAGCCATCGACAGCTTCGGCGATGCGCGATTGGGACGAGGCGAGCGATCGGATGGCATCGAGGTACGCCTTGGCCTCCTTCTGCAGCGACGTCACTTCGCGCTCGAGCGTGCGGTACTGCTCTTCGGTCGAGTTGAACTCGCTGTCCACTGTGCGTTCCACCTGTCCCGTCTTTTGCATGAGCGTCGTGCCGGCACGGTTTATCGATTTCTTGAATCCACCCCACGACATGATTGCGATGTTTTGCTGCGGAGGGCTATGTGACTCCGACTGGGTCCAAGTGAGAGAGCGAGAATGACGGAGTTGCCGATGCTATAGCGGGCCGTGTTTCGGAGCGGATGCGCGATGTGATGTGCCAGAGTCGATCACTGCAAATGCGCAACGTGATCTCAGAAGGTGGGGAGATGAGGTGAGGTAGGAGCGAGGAGCGTGAGAAGATGCGAAAGATGAGGAGCGATGCCAAGGTGCTTGACGGAGAGATGCCGACAGGCAATTCGTCTGTGCGGCATCATGACGCCGCTGCCAAGCGACCGAGGGCGAGCGTGCGCTCAAGACGCTGGATCGGGGCAGCCGCGTTTCTATTTTCCGCGAATAATTACGGCTGCGCCGGCCGATTGACCTCCACCCTTCGCTCCAACTGAGCCCCCGCGACTGGAAACTGCCGGGCTTGAGGCAGGCTAGGCTGTGCACGGATGCAGCCAGATCAGCTCGGCAACTGCCACGACCCCTCCAACACGCCCCGATGGACCCTGATCATCATCATCCATCTATCTCCCCCAGAGCCTCGCTGCGCCATCTTCCCATCCATCACGCATCTAAGGCTTCCAGCACAGACGCAGGCGTTCCCTCCCTATTACCCCGTTATGAATCGGCTGTTCGGCTCCAAGGCTGCCAAGCCCAAGCCGTCGCTCAACGATGCCATCGCCTCCACCGAGTCGCGCGCCGACGGGGTCGAGGTCAAGATCCGCAAGCTCGATGCGGAACTCGCGCGGTACCGCGATCAGATGAAGAAGATGCGCGACGGACCCGGCAAGACGGCGATCCAGCAGCGTGCCCTGCGCGTGCTCAAGCAAAAGAGGCTGTACGAGAATCAGCTGGCGCAGCTGCAGCAGCAGTCGTACAACATGGAGCAGGCCACCATGACCACCGAGAACCTGCGCAACACCATGGCCACCTTTGACGCGATGCAGACCGCCAACAAGGAGATGCGCAAGACGTACGGCAAGATCGACCTCGACAAGATCGAGTCGATGCAGGACGAGATGGAGGACCTCATCGAGGCGGCCAACGAGGTGCAGGAGACGCTCGGTCGCAGCTACGGCGTGCCAGACGAGGTGGACGAGGAGGATCTGCAGGCGGAACTCGATGCGCTCGCAGACGATCTGGACGCAGAGGATGTAGGTGCGGATGCGGTGCCGAGCTATCTGCAGTCCAACCAGGAACTGCCAGACTTTGTCGACGAGCTCCCCAACCACGCACAAGCAGAGGGCGCAAATGCAGAGCACGGAGAGGCGCTGCGTGCGGCGTGATGGCCTCATCCCGCTAGTCCATGGCCTGTTCACAAGAACGTCTCCACAACACGTCCCGCACCTACTCATGATTTTGCCCCTTGCCACCCCTTTCCATCTTGTACTTTTAGTCTTATATTGGCCAAGCGTATGTGTTCCACCCCACTTGTCACCGACTGCATATGTTCGTTATCGACGGCCGTAGCCACGCAAGTCCTCGCGGGCTAATGAGGATTGCAGCTGGGGCGAGCCAAAGCAAGCCCATCTGCTGAGCCTTGGGTCACTCGGTTGACAAAAAATACCCGCTGAAAATGGCGCGAAAAATGGTGCCCGAAAATGGCCGCTCGAAACTGCTCATATCACCCCAATGCTCTTTGCAGACGTACACCTCTTTCTTGTTCGCATTCGACCACGGCTGGGTATTACTAGCAGCAGCCGGGGCATACATGTAGCTGTTCGTGAACGAAGGCGTCGCACTCTAGGCAAAAGTCGTGGTTGCATCTCGTGCACCTGTACCTCGATGAAGGCGAAAGCCCCGCATCCTCGAGTGCCTTATTTGCCGCCGCTGTGCGATTGTCGTCCTTTTTGGGGAATTGCAAGTTGCACGAGAAACATGCGTCTTCGGCACGGTCTCCCACGGCCTCCCATGCAACGGCCTTCCAGTTGGGTACGGGGAAGAGGTGGTGGTACGAGCGCGCCAGGTGGGTGCTCATCACAATGGTGATGCCGCATACGGGACAGTCGGTGGGTACATCGCATACCTTGACTCCACAGCGTGGACACAGGTACCCGCTACCGCGCGATCGAGAGTGACATGCACACAGCGTCGGTGCCGCATGTGCAGGTAGGCGAAGCGGAAATGCCATCTGCAAAAGATCCACACCGTTCTGAACTTCCTCCTCCTCTTGGACGCCAGCACGACGCTTACCCTTGCGTGGTCCGTCGACGGCAGGTGGTGGGACAAGATCGAATAGTGCGTCGTGGAAATGTCCTTCGTTGAGCGCCACGCTAAACACCCCGCCTGTGCGCGTACACACGTCCTTAAACACCTTGACCTCCGCCGCCAGGTGCACCACCGACACGCGGATATTGTCCTTGACGAGCGTATTGATGGTGTCGTGGATGTTGCCCGGATCGCACGTGGTGAGACTGCCAAAGATCGCCAGGATCTCGCGCGAGTTGGACGCCGGCAGATGCACCAAGCTGCTCCTCGCCATCTCGAGCGCGTTTTGCAGCGAGGGTTCGCCCCTCGGCTCGAGCCGACGCTTGTTGGACAGAGACGCCGTATGGTCGACCGTGTTGCCGCCCATCATGGCGAGTCGTTCGGCGATGCCCTCGCGTGTGCCGATGACGGACAACTGCCCGATCGGATTCTGGTCAAAGTACTCGTTGACAAACTCGCGCGCATACTGCAGCGTCACATCGAACCGGTTAGGACGCATGTCCTTCTCCAGCATACTCGCCGATAGGTCGATGAGAAGCACTAGGTGGCGGATGATGCCGCGCTGCACGGGCGCCACGTCCTTGAGCGTACGCCGCCGCTTGGAGCCCTCGATCATCTGGCGCACCGCAGACTCGAGCGAGCCCGAATCGTCTTCAGCCACTGCATCCCACGATCGCTTGTATGTGGCTTCCCACGAGTAGCCCTGGTCCTTCGTCTTTGATTTGGCCGACGCCGCTGCCTTGCCTTTGCCCGCAGCTGAGGACGAGGAGCCAGCAGCTCCATTGGCCGATTTGCCGTTTGTTGCTGCGGAGGCGGCCGACGAGCGTGCAGCCTGACCGGCGCGCAGCGTGCCTAGCCTTGGCAGCGAGGGTGCAGCGCGGTACTCGTCTCCACTGTCATCGTCGTCCAGAAAGTCCTCGGCATCGTATGCGTCCGCTCCATCATCGACGTATTCGTCGTCGGCTACGCGAGGCGGCATCGCTTGAAAGTGCGCCTTGACTCGAAGCTTGCGTCGGACGAATCGTAGGACCGCAGCTCAGTGCTGGGCTTGCAAGCGCGCTTGTTGCAGATCCTGAAGAGTCGCGATGGCGTTGGATGTGATGGAAAGATGCATAGATGAGGGCGGCGGCTGAGTGGTGTCGTCTGCGCAGTCGAAAGAGTGGTCGGAGCGTCTGGATTCGACCCTTCGAAATGTGGAGCTCAGAGCGGAAATATTTAGTGCCGACATTTCGCGAGGTCTAACATGTATGGGGAATTCCAACTTCGAGAGCGCGCCTTTGGCTCTGGGAATCCGAGGCGAGGCGAGTCGCGTCCATGACCCGTGCTTCGAGCCACTTGCTCTTCCTGCCACTCCATCATCACCAGCAAGCTCGCCTTCATCATCTGCAACTCCTCTGCCTGCTCATCAACAGACTATCATCCACACAGTCTACTCAGCATGAACATGCCACCACCGCATGGCCCTGGTGGGCATCCCGGCCATCCAGGTCACCCCGTCCATCCAGGTCATCCAGGGCATCCCGGCCATCCAGGTCAGCCTGGTCACTTTGGACATCCTGGTCAGCCTGGGCATCCGGGCCATCCGGGCCATCCAGGCTTTGGCGCCTCATCCTCTCCCTCACCAGGCATGATGAATCGCCAGCACCCGCATGCGCAGCAATTCTACCCGCCGCAAGCTCACCAACAGCACCTCGACTCGCCCTCGGCGTCGGCGAACCGCGGTCGCAAGCGCAAGCTCACCGTGCACAACCACTCGCAGCCGCACATGCCGCGACGCCTCTCTATGCATGGTCCCGGCGGACCGCACGCGCAACATCCCGGCCATCCGCAGCAGCTTGGGCCTGGTGGCATGCACGGTCGTGCGCCCATGCCGCCGTTCCTCGGGCTCAACCTGCCGCCCACCATCGCCGACGAGCTGCCCGAGTCGATCTTTGATGATCTCGACCGCCTCGGCCCGCGCGACATTGCCGTCGCACGGTATGCGCGCAACCACGAGCTGCTCAGCATGGTCTTTGACGCACGCCGCATCGACACGCTCACCCCGGCCCCGTCACCGTATGTCGACGTGAAGCACGACGACCTCAAGGCCAAGGCGGCTGCAATCCACGACGAAATCGCGCAGCTCACCAAGCAGCATGAAGGAAAGATGCGCGAGGTGCGCGAGAGCGCCTCCAGCAAGAAGGGCAGGAGCAGCAAGGCGGACGACGAGCTGGATGGTGAGGTGCCAGCGTGGGCGAACAACGCATCGAGGGGCAGGATCGTCGGCGTCGGATTCGTGCGTGCCGAGACGCCCGAGGAGCTGCGGCCGCCCAAGCCCGCTGCTGAGCCAGCGGCAGCAGCTGCTTCAGTAGCGGATGGCGCAGGGGAGCAGACGCAGCAGGCTGTGCCTGCAGTGACAGAGGCAGCCGAGGAGGAGAAGGCGCAAGCAGAGCAGACAGCATCACAGGCAGAGCGCGAGGCAATCGAGCAGCTCAACGTCGAACTTGGCATCGCGCCCACGCAGTCGGAGCCGCCTGCGCCCGCACCCGCGCCTGCACCAGTCGCACCTACTGAGGCGACAGCCATGGCCGAGGACAAACCCGCCGAGGCTGCACCCGCGTCCGTCGAGGCAGTGGCTGCACCGGCCGCAGACGCAGATGTGGCAGCGGCTGAAACAGGCACTCCGGACGTCGCACTGGCAGCCCAGCCCGTGGCCGAGCTGACGGCAGACGCAGCAGCGACGACGGGCACAGAGGATGCGTCAGCTGCCGCGGTGGCCGAGACCGCGACCGAGGCCGTCGAAGTTGCACGGGATGCGGCTGCTGTGCCGGCTGGCGCCGAGGAGAGCGCGACAGCACAGCCAGCAGCTTCTGAGGCGGCCGATGTGACCATGGCGGATGCGGCCGCGCCGACCGTGCAGCCAGTGGTGGAGCAGCCGGACGCGCAGGTCGCCGACTCTGCTGCCCCGACACAAGAACAAGCCAGCACCCAAGTTGAGGCTGAATCCAAGCCTGAAATGCCTGCTGCCGCAGCAGAGCCATCAGATGCTCCTACCTCGTAGACTCTCTCTCACTCACGCAGACGTAATACCACCCACACACACAGCGATGTCCCAGCTTAGAATCGTAGGGGATGACATTGGAGCAACGACCAAAACAGAGAGGGGAGCGGGGAGGAGTCTAGGAGAACTTTTTGTAGTCGTGCGTTTCGTACGCCTTGATTTTGTGCGTTCGGCGCTTGGGCGTCTGCTTGACACGCGGTTCGATGACGCCGCGCGACTGGAGGCGCGTGTAGCGGTCGCGGAACAGGTTGCCCTCGGGCTTGAGCGTGCGCAGGCTGTCGGCGAGCTCGTCGGGCGTCTGCACGTCGAGCTGCTGCTGCGGCACCTTGTGCTTGCCCACCTTGTGGCCCGCCAGACCCTTGCGTTCCAGCAGCGCCGTCTTTTCCAGCTTGCGCGCCTCGGCGGCTTGCGCACGCGCAGCAGCCAGGCGTGCTTGACGACGCTTGAGCGCAGGAAGCTGAAGGATCGCAGCGGCTTCGATGCGCGCTTGCTTGCGACGTGCGGCTTCGAGTTGCTGCATGCGTGCACGCTTGGCACGCAGGCGCTGCTGACGAGTTTTGCGCTTCGGCTCGGCGGATTCGGCCCCCTCGTCGTCGGAACTGGCGTCGTCGAGGTCGTCTTCAGCCGCGGCTTCGTCGTCAGAGCCGAGGCCGGGAACATCGACGTCCATGCCGCGGTATCGCTTGAGGTCGTCGTCCTTCTGCGCGCGCAGCTCGGCCTCGCGCGCGACGATGGTGGCAAGCTTCGACTGCCATGCGGTGCGCTCCGCCTGGTCCATCTGCTCGTTCTCCTCGAGCCGTTTCTCGATCTCGTACGCCTCGTTGATGAGCGCCTCGTGCGATTCGAGGTCCGGGTTGTACGACGAGCCTGGGTGCGGCAGCTCGACGGCAGGCAACTTGCTAGCCACGTCAAAGTCGTCGCGACGCAGCGTCTTGGGAACGTGCACGGCGGGCTTGGCGACCGCCGTCGGAATCCAGTCGTCGGCTTTGGCTTTGCCCTTGGCATCGCCCGACGAGCTGCCCCACACATCGTACACGTCGCCAAGCGTCTTGTTGACCACATTGGCGCTGCGGTCGACGATGGCAGATGCATCCCCCTGCGTACCCACCTGCTGGCGGCCTACCATCTTGCGCAGTCGCTGCTCCATGCGCTTGTCAACGCCCACAGCCTGCTTCTGCTTCTTGGCGGGCGCGACCGCAGCGTGGCCAAAATTTCGCTGCAAGATCTCGAGGCTCTTAAGCGGGCGCTTGCCCCGTGCTTGGCGAGCAGTGAGCGTCTCTTGACCGGAGCGGTCCTCGACAAAGAGCGCGTCCGAAGCAGTCTGGCGCAGAGGATCGCTCTGCTCCTCCAGGAATGCCTCGGTGGAGGTGAGGTCGATGTTCTTGCGCCATGCCTTCTTGCCCTTGCGCGACGACTGCGCTGGCTGCGAAGGCTGGCCAATACTCGAAGCCTTGGTTCGTGTCGGAGCCATGACTACCAACGATGTGAGGATACCGTGGGAAGGAAGAGGCTGACAATACGTTCGGATATTCCGTCCCTGCTCCCTCGGTTTGATAGAAGGAGCCTAAGAGCAAGTCGGTCCAATGGATCAGCTGTACAGAGGCCGGGTGATCCGACGAGAATGCTGTGTCGAACAAGTCTCGACTGGAGAAGAGGAGTAGCGGGTGATGGTAGCACTGCAGGCCTTTGAGGCTGGAATAGTGGAGAGGACCCTGACGCTGCTAGACCGGCCCTGCTTTCTCAAATTGTGTGTGGCTGGAGTGGAAGAAAAAAAAAGTGACGCCGGCTCGCGGGGTCGAAGGCGAAAAAAATTCCCAAACCAAAATTTCAGAGTGCGTGCGCTGCACCACCGGCTGCACCGACGGCGGCCACTTTGCTTTCTTCCTGCGCTCTGCTGCCCGAGCAGCGGTTGAGTCGAGTTCGCAGCCCTCCACGCTATTTGAAGCAAGAGGCACGGTCCGCAACCTTCAGCTCGTCACATCCTTTCCCTCGATCTATCGCATCCTCTCCGACGTTTCCCACGCCCATTAGTACACGTTAGCATGACGGACAAGGCACCTGCGCTCACGAGCGACCAGATCGACGAGCTGCTCCTCTCGGCTCGCTATGGCGATCTCGAGGACCTCGAATCCACGCTCGCACCGCTCCTCTCCTCTGCCTCGTCGGCTTCTTCCATGCTGGCCAGCATCAAGAACGAATCGGCCAACACACTGCTGCATTACGCCTGCGCTAACGGTCACCTTGACGTCGTCACCTACCTGCTGCCCCACTCCGACCTCGCGCTGCTGCTCGCCCAGAACGAGTCTGGCAACACGCCGCTCCACTGGGCCGCCCTCAACGGCCACCTCGACACGGTCAAGGCTCTCGTCGCACACATCGAGAAGCTCGAAGCCGCACACCCAGAAGAGGCCAAGAAGCTCAACCTCATCTTCCACCCAAAGTCGAGCGCGCACCCAGAGCAACCCAACGAGGCACACGAGGGCGACCAAAACGACGGGTCCGAGAGGAAGCTCTGGGATGTCCGCAACAGCGCCGGTAGAGGCCCCATGAGCGAGGCCCAAATGAGGGAGCAGGAGGCCATCGTCAAGTTCCTCCTCGAGCGAATGATCGACGGCCCAGAGGGCTCCAACTTGACCCCCGCAGAGCCCCTCCCATCATCCAACCCCACCGCAACATCAGAGGTGGAGGACAAGACCCAAAACCTCTCGCTCAACACTTGATTTCCTCTATCCGGGCAGGATCACCCCATGTACTTGTATAGCAATCTCATCTTTTAGACTCTCACGTCGTGCATTTGATGCTTCTCAGTGAGCTTCGTCGGTGTTCGCAAGCTGGCCGCGGGATTCTCGATGGTTGCTTGTATTAGGAGCCGGAGAGCATTGCGATCTAGCTGCTCAGGAGCGGAACTTGATAGCGCCGACGGTGCATCACACCGCCTGCACTACAGATCCGCCGGTGGTAAAGTGACGAGCCAGACTAGAGGATCAACGCACCATCAGATCGATGGTGCACGTCTGATCCCTTGGCGACTTGTTACGAATAGTGTGATGGCGTTCGTGGTGGTTTAGATGGCCTTGGACTTGACGAGGCTCTCGATCTCGGCAACGGCGTTGTCGAGGATCTGCTTCTGCAGCTTGTCGTCCTTGAGCGAGTCCTGCACCTTCTGGATCACGCTGGCTGCGAGCTCGCGCTGCTCCTGCTCACGCTCGGTCGCCTCGAAGCGCACCCACGAGTCGAGCACCGCCTTGACCTCGGCCGCGAGCGCCGTCTTCTGTCGCAGCTCGAAAACCTCCTTCTCTGTCTGCGCCGTCTCCTTGGCCACAGAGTACAGCGCCTGCGTCAGGCCAACAACGTCCTTCTGCTGCTCCACAGAGTCAATGCGCGTCTGAACGGCCTCGGTGTGCTTGGCACGAGCGCCGTTGAGGATGTTCGAGATTTTCTGTAGTCGCGAAAAGGGCAGCAAGGTCGCACGTCAGTATGCGTTCGCTTTGGAACCGGTCGTTGGGCTCGAACAGCAGACCAGCCCAAGTCCCCAGCGTCATTGAGAGGCCGCCCCGGTCGATGCTTTAGCCCAAATCGATGCTCCCGCCCCAATCAATGCTCTGACGGAATTGGCTGGTGGTCGCGATCTCCACTGTGCGATCCGGTATGCGATGCGGCAGTGGCGAAGGTGGCAGCCTTGTGGCTAGAACAAGGTCGAAGACAAGAAGCGAGGCTTGTGCGGGTCGGCTCTGTGCTGTCTGATCCTCCGTCGTGCCTGATCCACGCGACCTATCTCGTAGACTGCTTTGTACTCTGTTGTTGACAGACATGCTATGCAGTGCATCCTGAGCAGGGCCGCGCCTGTCGCGCGCCCGTTCGTGACCTTCTGATTCTCCTCACTGGCTGGCCATCTGTTCATCCCGCTGAAATGCCACCATCTACGCATGCGTGTCGTGTCTGTGTGTCGGATGGCCATGATTGCTGGGGACTGCGTGGTCTGTGTCGGCATGTTGTGATTCTTACCTCGATCTGGGAGTCGGCCCACTCCTTGTAGGGGCCGGTGATGGCGCGGCCGACGAGGACAGCAAAGATGAGCGAACCGACGAGGATAACGGTCTCCTCGTTGGCGACGTAGATCTCCTTGCTGATGGCGACGGCGGTGAGACCGGTACCGAGGGTGACCCAGCCGGTCTTGCTGACGAGCGAGTTGCCGGGGAGAGAGTCAATGATGGAGCTGGCACGGGCCTCGGGCGAGGGCTTGTCGCTGTACAGTCGGATGGCAGCAACCGAGGTGGCAGCACGGGGGGCGACCGTGGGTCGGGCAAGGGCGAGGGTGGGCACCCGGCGAGCAGCAACGCGGAACGACATGATGTGAGGGTGGTGACGGATCAACGGATGTAGGGTGGAGGAAGAGGTGGTGGTGGCAGGTGATCAGAAGTATCGACCAGATGCGCTACGCCCGCACCATTCGCTTTCGCGGGCGCAGAACTCGCAACTCGCCGCCGCCCAGCCTGCCTCTCTCGACAGGAAGAACGAACACACGCGCTAGGCAGCTCTACAAGCCAAATCGATCCCAGCAACCTCGCCTTCCCTGCCTGATCCGCGCTCTGCTCCTGCTCTGCCCTCTGTGGCCACCAATTCGGCCACCCAGCCAGCCAGCCGGCCAGCCGCTCGAGAGCCTGCTTGCTTTTCTCTCGTCCGCAATTGTGAGGCTCTGCTGCCTGCGAGCTCTTCTATTCGGTCAGCGGCGAACTTCAAGTGAGGGCGACTTCAGAAATTGAAGTCACCCAAGGCTGGTTGAAGATCATCCAAAATCGATCACAATTCAACCCTGACCACGAAGCGGCCGTCCTGTTTGTTCCGTCTTCAGGCGACAGTCGACGCGCTCCCGGAACCGAAAGCAGGCGTGGGTCGATCGGGTCCCCGAAGAATCCTGGCAATGCATCGGCGATGAGAATGCCGCCGCTGCGAACTGACATCAGGGGTTAGAGTGATCCAGACCCTGAGACAGGCCGAGGGACTCGACCTGCCCAACTCTGCCATTGTCGAGACCAAGCATGGCAGTTCACCAGCGCCACCAACGCCACTGCGGCTCTCGCCAGCATCTTGCGCAGTGTGCACGCTGAGTAAAGATGAATCTTATAAGATCAGCCGCCACTTTTCGACGTCCGCCGTGCCAGAGCGCCTTAAACGGCTGTCGGATGCGAGATGAGTGAGCGTATGATTCAGCTCGGATCAACGTAAACTCTTCGTTCCCCTGCACTTTTCGACGAGTTCTCTCGCTCTCATAGGACGGTCGAACTCTCGCTGATGTCAGTTGAAGTCACCGGGCACGAGCCAGCTCTGATGCTTCCGCCTTCTGCGGACTGAGGGGAAGGACGTTGGAGTGGAAAGCTCTCTCGATCTCAGAAAGGCTTATAAGGTGTCGGACTTGCACGAGCTACCCTCCTCTCACATCTTCACCATCAAGTACACTCACCACAGTCCATCGCAAACATGTCGGATGCGTATGCAGGCAAGTCTGATCAGCAGATCATCAACGAACAGGTATGTGCCAAGTCCCTTGTCAGGGCAGCAGACCATTGCCATCTGCCCGATCAGGAGAGGAAAGGGATACTGAAAAAAGCATCTGCCATCTCATTGCCTGATCACGCCGAACAGTTCCAGGATTTGGACCGCAAATCGGACAACCGTCTGAAGGACTCGTTCAATCCCAAGACGACCGTGACCTCGGAGGAGTCCGGTGTCAACGAGTCGGGTCTGGAAAAATTCCCTGGCGCCTCGGTCAGTGTCGGCCGCACCGGACAGACGGGTGGCGGTACAAACCCGCAGAACATCCCTCCCGAGGAAGGTGGCGATGGCCGCAGCCAGCGCACGGGCGAGTCGAGCATTCGCTTCGAGGGTACGGGCGGTCCGGAAGACAAGAAGTACGAGGCGCTGCGAGACAATCCGGGTGGATTCGATGCCAAGCCTCGTGGCATCGACGAGTCGCGACAGGCCCAGCTCAACGAGCCTGTCCCCAGGACTGAGCCGCAGAGGCTCGAGGCTGACCAGGAGGCCACGGCCCGCAGCCACGTGATCAACTCGTGATGTACGTTTGAGTACGAGGAAATGCAGTGCAGAGATTCATCTCTGTCATACTTTGCGATCGCTCGTTCCCAAGTTTGCTCGAGATTATGATGGCTCGAACGATGAGACGACGTTGTGAGCTGGTCTCAGCTTGATCGAGGTCAACGATTCTGCGTATGAAGCCTAACATCCAAGAATCGAAAAAATCGATGCCACCTTTCACGTCCGAGCTGAAATGCTTTGCTGCCTGACAGCTGCTGTCCGAGACTACAGTAGCCCTGTGAGCCTCGATTTCCGGCTTTGTGCCGCCTCGACGGACGGCTGGAATCGGCAAGCTCCGCGCAGCCTCCGCACCGGTCGGGCGCAAATTCGCGGACCGGCTGTCGCAGGCCATCCCTGCCAACTGACTGCTCTTGTGACTGGCGCACGAGCGCATTCAATTTTGCCCCGGTTATTCCCAGCGTGGCTGGCTGCCGCCTAGCGTCGGTCTCGCCGGGTGGAGAGAGCGAGAAGCGAGAGGCTTCGCTCGCCTAGCTCGAGCGGGCTTGGGATGGAGTCACGCCCGCTGACTTCCCCGCAGGCCTCCCGCATTTGCCTCGCTTGTCGCCGGTCCAAAGTATTGTGATAGCCTCCGCGACCTCACGCCCTTCCCTGCTTACCCCATCGCCCACGCAAGCATCCAACACCGCTTCCTGCTTCCGTACGGTCATCAACCTATCCATCTGCGGTATTTCTCGCGCATCACAAGACTCGTCTCAGCATACTTGGGCCGCATAGCACGTGCATCCAAATCTCCCCTGGCAAGCAAAGCAACCACGCGACGTGCTGCATTGCTGCAAGCACCCTGGCTGAATCGAGGTCTTCAAGCAACAGCTTTGCCAGACCACAACTGCGTTCTACAGACAGGGTAATTCGACGCTCTCGGCGTGGAAGACCTCTTCTGGCCTCGGAGGCGATCCCGAACGACATCGGCATCCTTCCGACTCTGCTGCAAGACTGGCATCGGTGAAGCCAGCATCTGCTTCGTGGCCTGCGCATCCCGTCGCGCCAGGCTATCGGAGCAAGACCGATCTCTTCTGCCACTCGGCACCCGCAACCTACTCACAGCGACTCTACACAGCGACTCTACGGTGGACGCACCCGCACAATCACTCAAGATGAACTATCAAATCTCGCAAAGGCTGTGGCAGCAGCTGCATCACTTTGCCAGTTTCCCACAGACTGGCATCTCGCTGCGACAGATGGTGCAGTTCGGACGCAATCCCAACCCAGGGACCATCCTCCAGGCCGGCAGCTTCCTCCACGAGGAATTGCCCATCCGCCTGGCACATCGTGTCAAGGAGCTGGATGAGCTACCCCACGACCTCTCAAAGATGCCTTCGATCGTCAAGGTCAAGAACTGGTATGCGCAGTCGTTCGAGGAGCTCGTCAACTTTCCCAAGCCCACAATGTCGGGAGCGGTGCAAAAGCTGCTTCAGAGCGCATCAAAAACGGCAGAGCCCTTGCCTGAATCCAAACCGAATCCGAGTCTGCTCGAGTCAGCCTCGATCGGCGACGGCGAAGCGGGCATGGCAAAGGCGCTCGCACCCAGGAATGGCAACGGCAAGAACGGCAACGGCTCCAAGTCGCGCGCACTCCTCGAGCATCGCTACTACGCCAACCTCCCCGACCAGCAGTGGCCCGTCGAGATCGATCAGTACAACGAGGACTTCACAAAGGCGCTCGAGAAGATCAAAAAGAGGCACGATGCCGTCGTCACCACCATCGCACAGGGTGTGCTCGAGTACAAGCGTTCAAGAAAGGCCAACACGCTCCAGGCCGACGTGCAGGCGTTCTTGGATCGTTTCTATCTCTCGCGTATCGGCATCCGTATTCTCATCGGGCAGCACATTGCGCTCAGCCGAAGCTCGCAGCGCCCCGCCGCCAATCTTATCGGCGGCGGCGGCAGCGGCAGCACCGTCAGCAGCAGCGGCGACTATTCGCTGTCGGACCAAATTGCTCGCGTCAAGGTCGACGGCAATCAGGAGCACGAACAGTACGTCGGCATAATTTGCACCAACACCAACGTAGGCGCCATGGCGCACGAGGCCATCGAAAACGCGCGCTTCGTTTGCGAGGAGCACTACGGCCTCTTCAAGGGCCCACCCGTCCAGCTCGTATGTCCTCCGGACCTCACGTTTATGTACGTGCCGAGCCACTTGAACCACATGCTCTTTGAGCTGCTCAAGAACTCGCTGCGTGCAGTCGTCGAGCGCTACGGCGTGGACCAGGAGGACAACTTCCCGCCCATCAAGGTCATCGTCGTCGAGGGCAAGGAGGACATCACCATCAAGATCAGCGACGAGGGTGGAGGAATCCCGCGCAGCGAGATGCCGCTGGTCTGGACCTACATGTACACCACGGCGCAGTCCGAGGATCTGGACCCCGAGTTCAACGCGTCCGATTTCAAGGCGCCCATGGCTGGATTCGGATACGGACTGCCGCTTGCGCGGCTGTATGCGCGCTACTTTGGCGGCGACCTCAAGCTCATTTCGATGGAGGGCTACGGCACAGATGTGTATCTGCACCTCAACCGACTCTCTTCGAGCAGCGAGCCTCTCCCGTAGGAATACCTCAGGTCCAAATACGGCTGGAAGCGCAACCGTACCATCAGCGAGATCGAAGCCCAGGCGCGTGCCAGCAGCGACGGCGGCGGACGAGACGAAGCTTCGTCCAAGACGCGCAAGCAGCAGCCGTCGCTGCTGGAGCTGCCGGCGTTTGGCTTTGTGGATCCCGTACCGCCGCCGTACTCACAACAGCCCGGCCTCGACGATCAACGCCGTTTTGGACCTGCCCCTCCGCACGCTGCTGGCGCGGCAGCCTCGACGGGAGGGGGACTCGCATTCCTACGGGCACTCTTGCCCAAAAGCTGGCAGCGGAGATGGGCTCCGCACAGCGACTTGATCGAGGATGGCCGACCCAGGGACGGTGAAACTGGGGCGCACCCTGCTACTCGACCTCCGCCGCCTCCGCCACCCTCTGGCGGCAGCGGATCGCAGGTTGGCCGAGGGCCGTAGCCCGGCCAGCTTATGGTCCCGTCCATATCGCACCCATCCCTCGACACGACCAAAAGCTCACGCATTCCCTTATCCTTGTACAATAGATCAGCAGCCTGAACCCAGCACTTTTGCATATGCATATGCTTTTGGTATTGCACGGCGCCTGGAACGCCAAGGAAAGGTGTCGGTGTACGAAATGGCCGAGATTAGCCGTGGCGTAGAGAGCAGTCGGGAATAGACACATAGCCTGGGCGGATCTGCGGGAGCTTGAAGGCCTAAGCGAGCTGCCGGCGCCCAATGCTTCTAGAGTGCGGCCTAGATGTGCCGGAGTGGGCAAGGCGAGCATAGCCTAACTTACTCACTCTGAAAGCTGTCGAAAGCAGCACTGTCATGGTCCCGCTGGATGTGAGGGACGGGGAGAGTGCACCTGCGCGATCCGTGTGCGATGTAAAGGGGCGGAAGGAAGAGGCTAAAGCCGTCTGGACGCTTCTGAGAACCACCCACGGAGGTGTGGGGAGGACGTGTGGAGTCGTGCTGCCCCGCCTTTACTCCCTCCAAGCCCGAGCCAGATGGTCCCCCTTCCTGTTCCAGCATCTCGACTCGAGCCATGCAAGCAAGTCCATTCTCATGCACAAGGCAAGTCTCGTCAACCTGGCATGGATCGACGACAGGCACGCCAAACAAAGAGGTTCAATGGGTCCGCACGTATGCGCATTTCTCGCTTCTTGCTACCAAGCCAAGGCGAGGCGAAGGAATAGGTGCACGGATTCCCAGCTGCGAGAAGACAGAGATCCACATGCCCAGCCTCGCAGCCCCGACGCGGACATGCGCGTGCGGACGAACGCACTGGGACTGGAGCTGCACTCCCGGCGTGACCATTATTTGACTCTATCACGCCCCCGGAGGGCTCGACAGAGCGCGACCGGGCCCAAGGTGCGACACTGAGACACGCTGCGCATTCGAGACGGCGCCAACTGGCAGCCGAACGCGCCTTGAGAGAGGAGTTTCCTCCGCGCTGGCAAGCTGCCTGACTTTTTGCGACGTGCAGACGCTCGGCTCTCTCCCGGCGTGCTGCTAACTTGCCGCCAGCACAAGCGAGCAGGCCCGTCGTCCAGTCTTCTGCGGCCACCACTTTATGCCCTCTCTGTCTCTGCCTTTGCCTGCCTCTGCCTCTGCTGCGAAGCTGGCGAGCGAGCTCGGCCCATTTTTTGCGCAGTCAAGCTAGAATGCGTGGCGCGCCCCAGCTGTCAAGCCCTTCTCCGCTCAGACAGCACTGCGTCGGCTCTGCAGCTGCGGGTTGCGAGGCTCTACCGCTGACCTGCTTGACTGGCGACACGCTTTGCGTCGGCGTGTCGGTCTGGCTCCGCTCTCGCCCTGCTTTGCACCGGCTCTGCTTCTGAGCTCCCGGCCCCCCCGTCTCGCTCGCCTCTGCCTTCGCCCTTGTCCGCTCAAAGCATTGCACTTGGCCGCACGTCCACTTGCCCGCCCCTGCGCGCCTGCCTTCGCGGATCTGTTGTTCTTTCGCGCAGCCTTGTCCGCTCTGCACAAGATTCTCGGAAGCGACATCGCAAGCCCCTTGGAGGTTGCTTCGACGATACCCTTTGCCTTTCCACCTCCCTCCCATCCCATTCGACAAACTCGACATCGCGCTGCGACGCTCCGGCCGACGCAACGCACCGCTACAAACGCATTCCCGAGTCCACCTGGGCTCACTTTGGTCGTTTCCTACACCGACTCGGTCGACTCGTCAATGTGCGCGGCTTTGGCCAGCATTCGCTCTTTCCACCTCTCGTGAGCTTTGGCATTAGCCGAGCATCACATCGCTCCTTCTTTGCAACGCAACAGACCCTTCCATCGGCTACGGCCGGTCAACGTCTGCTCTCCTCATCGCGCACGAGTGGCAGCGCAGCTGCAATTCAGCCTTCGCCTCGTCCGGTCCTCGGCAAGTCCGAACCAAGAATCGGCTCGATTCCGCACAGGTGATTCCGCCTATCTTGCTTCGCCTTGCTCCATTCATACGCCTCGCAAGCTTCTCTTCGCCCTCTTCCGTGCGTACCGAAGACGAGCGTCGATTGCTCGCTCAAGCCTGTCTGCACCCATCTTTTTCCAACGTGACAATCGTCCGGCAAGACCGAACGACAATCTCACGCACAACGCCGAAGGGATCGCTGGCGACAACTCCTGCAACCGCACTTGCCCTCTGCGCAGCATCTTCTATTCTGTTGTCGGAGCAGGATCGTAGCGCCCAAGCAGGCCCNATCGCTGGCGACAACTCCTGCAACCGCACTTGCCCTCTGCGCAGCATCTTCTATTCTGTTGTCGGAGCAGGATCGTAGCGCCCAAGCAGGCCCTCACGCCCATCCTTGATACCCTGGGTGCGCCACCGACGCTCACAACTCGCTGCTCCAGGACGCCGTTCGGGTGCTTCCGTGGTCCGCCTTTGCTCAACATGAACGGCATGGAACACGGTCAAACCTTTGACCCCGCCTTTGATGCCTTCTTTCAGGCTCCGTCCTCATCCTCTCCACATCACCAACTCCAGCATTCCGCTGCCGGCTCGCCTGCGTCTATCCAGCAGATCGGCAACATGAGCGCAGCCGACTCTTCGCTCAGTCTGTACGCTCAAGACACCTCGGCGATGCGCCCGAGCTCGTCCTCGGGCGGCAATCTCCATCTCAACATCTCCAATCTCTCGGTCACGGGCAGTGAAGCCGACACCTCACACGCACAGGCACACCAACAGCAGGGCGTCGCCAACTCGCTCAGTTTCCAGCCCAACAACACGGCCTCGCCTCAGTCCACCCTCGCGTCACCGGCGGATGCTACTGCGTCATTCAACATGCCCAGCACCGCATCAACCTCGCCCCTCTTGCATCCTGATGCGCCAGTGGGCACAGCCTCAGAAGCCCACCTAGGCGTACCTACCGCGTCGTCTCCTCTCAAGACTGAGTACAACCTCGGCAACGACTCGACTGGTCTGACGTCGACGATGCGCTCCTACAGCTCCACATCGATCAAAAGCGCCGCGGGATCGCAGAACGCCGACAGCCCAAGCTCCGGCTTCGGTGGCGGCGGCGCGGCAAACCAGAGCATGGGTGACGTCTCGATCGACGATGCCAACGTCGCTAGCCAGTCGGAAGCCGAGCTGGCGGCAGAGAAACGCCAGAGCAGCAAATTTGTCTACAAGCTCTTCCGCATGGTCAGCGACCCCGACTACCAGCACCTCATCAGCTGGAACCGCAACGGCACCAGCGTCATGGTGTGCAACTTTGACGAGTTCGCCAAGGAGGTGCTGGGCAAGCACTTTAAGCACAGCAACTTTTCCAGCTTTATCCGCCAGCTCAACATGTACGGCTTCTACAAGGTCAACAAGACGCCCCGTGGCCATCGACAGTCGGTCGACGCGCAGATCTGGGAGTTCTCGCATCCCAAGTTCCTGCGCGGCCGTTCGGATCTGCTCGATGACATCCGCAGGAAGGCTCTGGACTCTGAACACGCGCGGGTCGAAGCTCGCGATCTGCAGTACAGCGTCAGTGTGGGGCAGATGCAGCTGCGTCAGCAGGTGGACGAGATGCAATTCCGGCTCGAGGAGCTCACAGAGCAGAACATGGCGCTGCGAACCTTTACAACCCAGCTCCGAGACGTGCTTGGCCTGGTGCTCGAGCACGTCAAGAAGACGAGCGGCGGCAACATTGGTTTCGACGTGCGCATCCCCACGCTGGACTTGCCCTCGCCCATGCCGCCGCAAGGCCTGTGGACGCCGCAGGGTCACGATGGCCCGCCCATTTTTGTGACGGAGCCCGAGTTCGGCGCCGGCGTCGGACCGGGCGGGCTGAGGATGGGCCCGACACCTGGCATGGTGCCTGGGCCGGGCCACGCTCCGCCACCGATGCATGCGCCCCAACACCACTTTGGCGGCGCGCCGGATGGGTTCGCCATGACGGGCACGCCCATCCCGCGTCGCGTGTCGGCGAGCTCGGCGCACAGCGAGAGCATGCTCGCCATGAATGGCTCGCCCATGCACGGATCGATGCAGGGCGAGATGGGCATGTTGCCTGCTGGTCTGCCGCAGCGCTCGGCTTCTTTCGGCGAGGGACAGATGCCTGCACCCCATTTCAATATCGGCCGCGGCGGCGCCGGCCGACCGGGCCTGGCGGGGCTCGCCATCGACACGTCGGCTGCGTCTGGCATGTTTGGCGGCATGCATCCGAGCGTGAGCCCGACATCGGCAGGACTATCGGCAAGCAATGCGGGGCTGGGGGTGATGAGCATGCCGCCGTCGCCGCTGACGCCACAGCATCAAGCGATGATGGCAGCGATCAACACTCCGCTGCCTCCGTCGCCGGCGCCGGGGTCATTGGCGGGTGGCCAGTTCAAGCCGTTTGATGGCTCGCCGTTCGTGAACAACAATGGATTCCCCTCGTACGGCCATGGTCTTTCTCTTGCCGATCAGAGCTTCTTTGGGCCAGACGCCGATGGTCCCAATGCCAAGGCGATGCGCACGCCCATGAAGCGCACGGCGTCCAACTCTGGGCCTAGCGCGCAGGGCACGCCAGTGCTCATGCAGTCGACGTCGCCCGGGCTCGCCAAGCGCAAGTCGCCAATTTGAACGCGAGTCCTCTTTGATACCCGGTCGGCTGGCGCCCGTCGTCGCCATCCCAGTGACTCTCACCTTCGTTTGTCCCCACAATCCTTTTCCCCTTTCCCCCTCTTTCCCCTCAACAACATCACCTGAACCAAACTTTTCTTCTCTTCCCTCCACGATTGTGCCCACGCTGGCACTTCCCCCCTCCTTGCCGACTGTGGCTTTCCCCTCAGCACCGCTGGCACAGTGTGCAGCGGGGCTGGTGTCGGGAAAGTCTGACCACGCTCGTTTTTTCGATTTGCTCCCCCCTGTGTCTCTATGCCTTGCGGTTTGTACAAGTTCGGACTCTCGTCGTCGTTTAATGTCCGAAGTCATCGTCTGTACCATTTCAACCTGGAAGCCTCGAGCGATTTGCTGTGGGTTTGTGTGGAATCAGATGATTTCGGTGCCTGGTGGGGCTGGGAGCGCGTGCGTGTCACGGGGAATGCGGGGAGGCAGCCGACATGCATGGCGGGCGCGTCGGCGATTACATTTCGCCAGCCGAACAGGGATGTGGAATTCCGACTTGCGGCCACGCTCAAGCCCACCTGAGGTGTTGGGCCCTAACCACCATCTGCGGCTGCCTCGACTAAGAGTGGCAACAGGCGCAACCATCCGACATTTTACAGGCGCACTCACGAGGACAATATTGTGCGATCAAGCCAGCAAACGAGTGCTTCTATGGTGGACCCACGGATGGTGCCACGAACGTCGTACGACTCACAGGCGACAGCGTCCGATGCTACCGTGGAGGAGCGCGATGAGAAGCCCTATCGCGACGACGCCTCCGCCGACGATGCCCCTCTATACCCGCCAACCCGAGTCTCGTCGCGCTACCATGCACACGACGAGCTGGAGGACGGCCTCGGCGGGGTGCGGCTCGACGATGATGAGCAGGTCGGACTCATGCAGGCCGACCGTGACGCACGCAAACCGCACCAAGGCTCGCGTATCTGGAGCCAGCTGCGCTCCTCGCCGCAACGCTCGGACAAGCGCAGACCAACTGCTTTCTCAGGCTGTTTGATATTTTCCGGCGTCGTGATCGGCTTCATGCTCGCCTTGCCACTCCTGCAGTGGCTCTCGTCCAACACAGCGTCTGCAGCCCCAGCAAGCACCTCCGTGGGAACAGCAAAGCCAAGCAACAACATTTCGTCGGATGCATCGATAGAATCGGTGCACAGCTGGAAGCAGCCTGCATCGCCCAACACGCCGGCGGGCCACTATGCGCTCGCCAACACGCAACTGTTCAAAGTCGACTTTCAGGACCCTGGCTGGGAAACTGTGGCGCAGGCTGCTGCGGGTACGGGTCTGACTGAGGCCGAAGTGACCTCGTTCAAGACGCACGATGGACACGACCTGATGCCGCTCGACATGGACACGGTGTTCAGCGGAACGCTCGCGCCGCAAACGAGCGACCTCACGTGGAGCGAAGAGGATCCGGACGAGGGCGTGTTCAGCCATGTCGACTGGACCAAGCGTGACATCTGGCTCGAGGACGTCACGCACGCACGCCATCAAAAGACGGGCAGCGGCAAGGTGGCGCCGTTTGGCGGCAAGGTGCTGGTGGTCGAGGGCAAAAACGTGCTGGATGCAAACGGCAGGATGCTCACCTGGACGAGCTTCAAGCTGTCGCCCGATCTGCGCTGGGTGCTCTTCTTCACCGAGGAGACCGACCAGTGGCGATACAGCAAGAAGAGCCACCTGTGGCTACACGACATTGCGGCCAAGAAGACCACGCAGCTCGGTTCGGGACCCAAGGCTCCGCCCAAGGTGACTTATGCCGCGTGGGCGCCGCGCTCAGCGGGAGCGAGCACGGACGAGGCGCCGACAATCGCATTTGTCGAGGAGAACAACCTCTTCGTCGTGCCGCGCGCAGGCGAGAGTGCGGTCAAGGTGACCGACGATGGGGCGGCGACGATCTTCAACGCGGTGCCGGACTGGGTGTACGAGGAGGAGGTGTTTGGCACCGACTCGGTCATGTGGTTCAGTCCGGCCGGCTCGAAGCTCGTCTTCCTGCGCCTCGACGAGACGGCGGTTCCCGTGTACGAGTTTCCGATCTACAATCCGGACCTGTACCGCGCGGGGATGACGCAGGCGTATCAGAAGATGACACGCATGAAGTACCCCAAGCCGGGCTTTGCGAATCCGACGGTGAGCGTCAAGATGATTGATCTGGACGAGATCCGTTCTGCGACGCGTCAGGGTGGAGCGGTGCGGCCGACGCAGTATACGCTGCACAGCCCGATGTCGAGCAAGGGCAAGGCGGCGGACGAGGTGGATCGGCTGCTGTCGACGGACGCGGGCGTCAAGGAGCGGCTGGTGACCGAGGTCAAGTGGGTGTCCGACAGCGCACTGCTCGTCAAGGAAACAGATCGATACAGCGATGTGATGCGCATCGTGCACTTTGACGTCGCGCGCGGCATGCTCCCGACGATGAAGGCGGGAAGTGCAGGTGCGGATGTAGAGGGTGAAGTGATGCGGAAGCAGGATGCACGTGCGGACAAGAGCGGCTGGATCCGCGCCGCGCAGACCATCGAGCCGCTCTCGCACCACAATTTGTCAGTCGGCTCCACGGCGTACCTCGACATTGTCGTTTCGCCACAGGGCTTCCGCCATCTGGCGTACTACGACTCTGCGACGTCAGACCAGCCGGTGTTCCTCACCGACGGCGCGTGGGAGATCGCTGCGCTCAAGCATGTGGATGCGCGGCGCAGGCGGGCGTACTTTGTGGCTGCACGTCCAACGCCCGCGCTGCGCAACGCGTACTACGTCGAGCTGCCGGACTGGCAGGCGTCGGCGTCGTCGCGCACGCCGGCGACCTACACGCTCAAAGAGCCCGTGCCGCTCACGGATGTGTCCAAGCCCGGCTCGTACGATGTACGCTTCGACCCCAAGGGTGCGTACTACGTGCTCGACTACCAGGGCCCCGACGTTCCGTACCAGAAGGTGGTGGGAGTGGACGATGCGTCATTCGAGCTGATGCTCGAGGAGAACGTGCTGCTGCGCCAGATGTCGAGCCAGTACGTCAAGCCGAGCAGCACGTTCTACCAGCTCGTGCTCAACAGCACGCTGGCGGATGGCAGCCGCGCGGTGGCGAGTGTGCAGGAGATCCGGCCGCACGACTTTGACGCGTCGGGCGAAACAAAGTACCCCGTGCTGGTGCGCGTGTATGGTGGGCCGGACTCGCAGCTCGTGGATGCGCGCTGGGCGCGTGCCGACTGGCACCAGTACGTTGCGTCGACACTTGGCTACATTGTGGTTGTGGTCGATGCACGCGGCACTGGCTTCCGCGGGCAGGCGTACCGTGCCACCGTGGCGGGTAAGCTGGGCGATGCCGAGGCGCATGATGTCAACGAGGCTGCAGCAGCCATCGCCACGCTGCCCTACGTCGACGAAAAGCGGGTGGGTGTGTGGGGCTGGTCGTACGGCGGCTACCTGACGGCCAAGAGTGTGGAGCTGGACAAGAAGGTGTTTTCGCTCGCCGTGTCGGTGGCGCCGGTGACGAGCTGGGCGTTCTACGACTCGGTGTACACGGAGCGCTACATGAAGTCGCCGCACACGAACCGCAAAGGCTACGAGGCCTCGGCGGTGCACGTCAACAGCGCGTTTGGCAAGACCAAGTACCTGCTCATGCAGGGCTCGGCGGACGACAACGTGCATTTCAGCAATTCGGCGCACCTGCTGGACATGCTCACTAAGGCCAAGATCCGCGGCTTCCGCTTCAGGATGTTCACCGACAGCGCACACAGCATCAGCGTGCGCGGAGCGTACCGAGAGCTGTTTGAGGAGATGACCAGCTTCATCGCCGAGCTGTGGGGCGCTGGTGGGCGCAGGGAGCCCAAGGGCGCAAAGGCCAAGAATCGTCCCGCACTACACAACTCGGTGGAGCGCCGGGCATAGACATTCGCATGTACTTGTATTGCCGAATGGACAGATGCTTTGCCAGTGACCATCGCCTTCCTACGGAGCGGATTTTTTTCTTGATGCAGGGCAGGGTTTGTGGGGATTGGCGCGTGTTCGGTGAGTGCTCGGTGCGTGGATTTTGGTTGACGTGGCCCGCGGATCACGCGGAGGTCGGCTGCGGGCATAGCCGACAGCGCACCCCTGCTGACCGCGCCTTGGCAACGAGTCACGCCGGCCACCTGTCGGCTCGTCTCCGGCGACTCAGCCCGCCTTCCTCTCCGCTTCCCCTCCGCTTGGACGGTGTCGATCGGGCTGTCAAGGGCAAGGTTCCGACCTGGCCGACTTTTGCTGCCGGCGCGTCGGTCAATTTCATAAATGCTTTTTGCCCGGGGTTCAGCTTCCCGCGTTTCGTATAAAGCCCTCGCCGGTTTCGATGAGCGAGTTCGCACGATCCCTAGGCTCAACCTTTCCCCCCTATTCAGTATCCAGCCCCTTCCCTTTGACATTGCCGTCATGTCGCTGCGTGAGGCTTCCGTGGATCTGCCAGCCGCTTCCGGGATGCGCTCCCGTGCAGCTGCTGGTCCGTCTGCGTCGGCATCTACCTCTGCCTCGCTGCGTCCGCGCAACCATGGTCCGATCCGACGGGCGTTCAAGAGCGCGTTCAGTCGCTTCGCCGCAGCTCCCGAGGGCTCGGATGCACAGGAGAGCAAGAGCACCTTCCTCAAGGAGGCCTCGCTGTACACGTGCTTCTTGCTCGCCGGCTGGGTGGATGCCACGCCCGGTGCCCTGTTGCCCGCCATCCGCGAGCACTGGAATCTGAGCTTCGTGCTCGTATCCATGCTCTTTGTCGGCACCTTTGTCGGCTGCATCATCGCAGCCGCATTCGTCTCGCCGCTCATGGATAGGTTCGGATTCGGCAAGATCATCAGCGTTGCCGCCGCGCTCGGCCTCGTCTTCCCCGTGGTCTTCCTCACCATGCCGCCCTTCCCAGTGCTCATCGTCGCCATGATGTTCTCCGGCATGAGTAACTCCTCACTCGATGCGCTTGTCAACGTCTGGATCTCGCAGCGCCCAAGGTCGGATGTCAGGCTCGGTGTCGTGCACTTCCTGTACGGCCTCGGTGCGCTCTCGTCGCCGCTGGCAGCCATCCCATTCCTGCACGAGGGCAGAAAGGGCATCGCGTTCCAGTACTTTTTCTGCGTCAGTCTGGCGCTCGCGCTTGCCGTGCTCACGATGGTCACTGTGGCATTCAAGCTGCAGCGCGATGAACTTGTCGAGGGACCAGCTCAGCAGCTCGCCACCGACGACGCGTCGATCGAGCTGCAGCCTCGCACCGCTACGCAGGTCTCCGACTCCGCCGACGACAAGGACAAGGCCATTCCGCCCACGCCCGGCTCCAGCTCGCATGCGCCGCTCGAGCTCATGCCGATCCCCGCACCCGTGGAAGACACGCGCTCGGGCATGTACAAGCTGCGCGCGGTGGTCAAGCAGCAAAAGGTGCAGCTGCTGGCGCTGTTCACCATGATCTACGTCGGATGCGAAGTCACGGTGGGCGGCTGGACCTCAACATTCCTCATCGAGGTGCGCAACCAGGAGACGAGCGCCAACGTGCTCGTCTCGGGCTTCTGGGCGGGCATTGCGTTCGGTCGCATCCTGCTCATCCCGCTCACTGCGTGGCTGGGCGACGAACTTGCCAGCCTCATCTACCTCGTATGCGCCGTCGGCCTCCAGCTGCTCGTCTGGCTCGTCCCCAACATCATCGCCAACGCCGTCGCGCTCGCGCTGCTCGGTATCTTCCTCGGACCGGCATTCCCCATCATGATCCGCGTGGCCAGCAAGACCATCCGACCGCGTGCGCACCTCACGGCAGCCATCAGCTTCATCTCGTCGTTCGCCGCGGCCGGTATGGCGCTGCTGCCTCTGCTCGTCGGTCTGGCGTCCCAGGCGGCACCGCAGGGCATCAAGGTTCTGCCGCCCATCCTCGTCGGCTTGCTCGCCGCCCAGGTCGGCCTCTGGACCCTCACCAACCGCAGCCACTTTAAGCAGCGCTTCTTCAGCCGCCGCGCCGATGGTGGTGCTGCGGAGCACGACGAGGACAGGCTCGACTGATCCATCCATCTGCAGTATATCTTCTTGCCTCTGTAAAATATCGCCGTTCGGGATCGTTGGTTCGAATGGATTTTTTTATACCTCGTGACCCTTTCTTTGTGTTTGCTGCCGCATGTGGATGCGGGGGTGGGAGCTGCAGAGTATCACAGCAGATGGCGTGCGCCGAAATGGGGTCCAGAGGGTCGTGGCGTGCTGCCGCTGCAGAATCACCTGCTGAGCCGCCACCAAATTTCGCCCCACACCGGGTCAGCCGCAGATGGCCGGCTTAAACCGCGTGCCTGAAATCCAAAAAAGTCAGAGTCACATTCGGATGAACTCAGC